CCTGTACGCCCGTCCCTCAGACACAACGCACCGCCGCACGCACACTCGTAACACGAGCCGGCAACTCTCTGACTCTCTCTCCTCTCTCTCTGACTCTTCCCCTTGTCAGGCTGAGCGGCTATCCGCCGTTCTACGCCGATAGCGCGCCCGCCCTCTTCAAGAAGATCATGGACGTCAAGTACGACTTTGACGACTCGGTGTGGGACGACATCTCCGACTCGGCCAAGGACCTCATCCGCAACCTCCTCGTCAAGGACCCCTCCAAGCGGTTCACCGCCTCGCACTGCCTGGAGCACGCCTGGGTCAGGGGTACCGTTACACCCACCCACCCGCCCACTTCTACGCCCAGCCATCCGTGACAGAGACTCATTGTTTGTCCCGTGGCGGTGGTGGTTGGTGGTATCGCCCAGGCTCGGCGGCCAACGAGAGGCAGATCCTCAAGATGAACAGGGACAACACCAAGTCGTAAGCTCACCGCTCACAAGCCAGCCCTCATTACCTGTTTCTCTGCTCCGTACTACTACTACTACTACCACTACACCACCACTACTACCCCTGCTGCTGCGTCGCATCTTCTCTTCCCCGCCTTGCAGCCCGGTCGACGTGCGATGCGCACACCTCCTTCCCGTGTCTCTTTTGGCAGCGATCGGCTGGCTCGTTGTTTGTTTGTCTGTTTGTACTTGATTGAACGTTGTTGTTGTTGTTGTTGTTTCCCATTTTTCCCAACAGCTGCACGAAGGTGCTTTGGCCCTTTACCCCTCCACCTCGCTCTGACACCCCTTCTTCTTCGTCTTCTTCGGAAACAAGTTGACCCACAGTCGTGTGGTTGGGTTACTTCGTAAAATACACGGTGGCGCGGGCCGGCTGAGCGGTTTAGGCGCTGATGTCCCACAGGCGGACGGAGCAGTCGTCGGAGCCCGAGACGAGGACGTTGCCGGCCAGGGACAGGCACGACACAAAGTTGGTGTGGCCCTCCAGCATGTTGAGACACTCGCCGAACATGCGCAGGTCCCACACCTTCAGGGTCTTGTCTGCAGAGCCCGTCACCAGCCGGTTGGACGCCTACGTGTCGCGTATCGCGTGTCGTGTGTCGTGTGTGTGCTCTCAGTGTACGCGCGACTGGGGGCCGCTGGCGTGGGGGTGGTACCGCGTCGTACTGAAGGCAGCGCACGGGCCAGGTGTGCGCCTTGACGGTATGTTCGCAGAGCCAGGAGCGCGGGTCCCACAGCTTGACGGTCTTGTCCCACCCGCCCGTGATGATCCGAGACTCGTCGGCCTGCACCGCGTTGACCTCTCCGCCGTGACCGGGCAGGGTGGCGACGCTGGTTCCCGTCGCCAGGTCCCACACCAGCGTCTCCCTGTTGCCCCCGCTGCACAGCAGCTCGTCGCCTCGCCAGAAGGCCAGCGAGTTCACCTCACTCTGGTGCCCTGTGGCGCCACACGCACACACGCACACACGACACACACGACACACACGACACACACGACACACGGCGCACACACGACACACGGCACACACATGACACACATGACACACGCACATGCACATACACACGCACACGACACAACACGCGCGCGCACACGCACACGACACAACACGGCACATGCACATACCCACGCATGCACATACACGCACACGACACAACACGCGCGCACACGCACACGACACAACACGAGCGCACTCGGGTGAGTGGCACACGGCCAATGAGGGGCGAGGGACGGGGGAGATGTGGGGGGGGGTGGGACTTGCCTTGAAGGACTTGCACGCACTCGCCGCGCTGGAGGGCCCAGAGGCGCACGAGCCTGTCGGAGGCTCCCGTGGCCAGGAGGGAGGCAGCCGAACCGAGACAGTTGACCTTCCCGTTGTGCTTCAGGATGCTCGTGCACCGGCCCACCCGCGTGCCCTGCAGCTCCCACACCTGCACCCCCCCCACCCAAACACACCGCTCCGTTAATGGGGCCATCATCACCCTCCATCTCAAGCCACCAGATGATAATGATGATGGCGATGATAATGATGCCACCAAGAGGTGCGGTACCTTGACGGTGCGGTCCCAGGAGCCGGTGATGAGGTGCCGGTCGGTGGCCTGGATGGCGCTCACGATGTCCAGGTGGACCTTGGTGGAGCCCACCACCCGCTGCGAGCCCGTGTCCCACACTGCAACACACACGATGATGTATGAGCCCAGAAGAAGAACGACGAAGAACGTCGTCAAGAAGGGCGGCGGTGGTACCTTTGGCGGTGCCGTCGAAGGAGCACGAGAAGAAGTAGGTTCCCGACCTGTGCATGTGCACTCCCGCCACGGGCTCCTGGTGGTCCTTCATCACCCTGCCCCGCCCCCACCACACCGCACCGCACCGCACCGCACCGCACCGCACCGCACCACACCGCCCGGGTCTGGTCAGCACCAGCCACCACGCCCACGCCCACCACCAGCAGCAGCGGCATCTGCATCATCGGCTATCCTTGTACGCGATCTGGGTAGTTTTGACGATTACGACGACGCGCCGGCCATCGCGGCCAACCAACCATCACCACCACCAGCCACCACCACCACCACCACCACGACGACCACCAGCACCACCAGCGCCACCACCACAGCCACGAGCACCAGCCACGAGCACCAGCACCACCAGCACCACGAGCACCACCACCAGCAGCAGCAGCACATCGGGTCAGACGCGTGGCTGAGGTGCACATGGAAGAGAGGGGGGGGGGATAGAGGGCGGCACGGTACGGTACCGTGGAGAGGGATAATTGGGAGGACCGCCTGCGGAACAGCTCCAGAGGGGTGCTGCTGCTGCTGCTCCTGCCCTCCTCCTCCTCCTCCTCCTCCTGCTCGTCCTGCTGCTCCGACGACGACGCTTTCGCTGATTTGTCGTCTCCCGGCTCTCGCTTGGGGACCACTTCGCCGCCATCCTCCTCGGGGCCGCTGCCGGCGGCGGTCGTTGGTGCCGTCCGCGGCTGCTTCGAATGCGTTGGCGGCTGTGCGGGCCTGCGGATGATGGTGCTGCCCCCGCGGTTGGCGGTCGGGGATGCTCGCGGCTTGGCCGCCGCCGCCGCTTTGGGGAGGGGCTCCTTGGACCTGACGCTGGCCTCGAGCGAGACCTTGATCGACTGCAGCAGGCGCTGGGCGGCCCCCGCCACCGACGGCTCCGTGGCCTGCAGGAACGGCCCCAGACGCAATCGCTGCGTCTTGATCACAATGTCACGCAGCTGGGCTGTGTGTCGTTGGTCGTTAGTCGTGTGAGTGCGGGGCGTCGTTTGGTTGTCTCTTTTGCAAGAGCCAATGAGCGCTGGCGGCGGCGGCGGCGGCGGCGTATGGATGTAAAGTAAAAGTGAAAGTGAAAGTAAAGTGCGCGTAGATACCGTCGAGGAGGAGGTTCTGTAGGGCGAGGAGGGCCAGAGTGAGTACAGTGGGGTCGTCGTCGGGATTGGCGAGGATAGTGAGCAGCTTGTTCAGGCCCCCGATCTTGGCCATCCGCAGCCGCCCACCCGCTGTCGTCGTCGTCGTCGTCGTCGTCGTGCCCACAAACGCGCGCGCCGTTGTGTGAGGTCAGGCCAGTGTTCAAAAGGACGAAGGGAAGGGAAGGGAAGCAGGTGGAGGGCGCGTACGGTTGAGGGCGAGCAGGGCGAGCAGGTGGAGCGCCCTCTGCTGCACGGCCACGTCCGAGGAGGAGGAGGCCTTGCCCACGAACGCCGCCAGAGCGTGGTCCTGCAGCACGTACTCGTTCCCTGGCCATTCCCCACCACAACCCACGAGGGACCGCCCCTTTCAGGAGCAGAAAGAGGCGTGCACGTGGCGGCGGCGGCGGCTGCTGGTGGTGGTGGTGGTGCGTGGTGCGTGGTACCGAGCTTGGCCATGGGGAGGAAGATCAGGAGTATGCTCTCCTGCACGTCGGGGCGCACTCGTGCCTCGGCCAGACACTCCAGGACCGTGTCCAACACCGCACGCGCGCTCTGGTCATCCGTGCTGCTCCAATCTGTTCACACACCGCACACGAAGGCACCACCCATTCACACACACACGACACACACACACACACACACGACACACACACACAAAGAGAGAGGGAGAGACGACACACCACAAATATAAATGATGGGGGGGGGGAAGTGGGGCACGTTGGAGGCGGGTGGGGTGGGGGGGTACCGGGTGGGATGAGGGTCTGCAGCAACTGGGCGAGCAGCGTGGGGGCCTTGGGCTGCTGCAGGGCCAGCAACGACTTGAGGGAGGGACCACCATCGGCCAACACCCGCACCAGCACCTTGTGCGTGCGGGCTGGGCGAAAAAGAAAAAGAAAATGGAAGATAAATAATAAGGAGGATAACAAAGGCAAGAAGAACATAACCAGGAGCGGAGGTGAACCGTCAGCGGCGAAGGTCTTGAGCAAGTTGAGGGCCAAGAGGATCACGGCATCTTGACCGGCTTGGACCGTCTGCATGAGGGGCTGCAGGGCACCCAGCTTGAGCATCTGGAGTGTGGCTTCTGCACCGGTTTGGTTGGTTGTACAGCAGCAGCAGCCGTAGCAGTCGTAGTAGAGAGGGGGGGGGCATTAGGGAGGTGTAGGTGTTGGTGGGGGGGGGGTACCTTGGTGGTGGTGGGCCAGGGTGTTGAGAATGAGCAGCACGGGTCCTCGCACCTGCGGGCTCGAATAGGTCTTGAGCAGGTGCACGAACACCTTCAGGCCAGCCGCCGCCAGCACGGCCTCCCTGCCCTCCACTTTTGTTGGTGGGCAGATGGACGCACAAATAGAGAAGGGCAAGGGTGAGGATTGGCCGCACGCCAGTGATCAAGGTCTTCAAATGGCCACCACACCATCGTGATGCGGGAAGTTGCCGGTGGTGGTGGTGGTGGTCCGTACCGGTCTTGGCGAGGTTGCGAAAGTAGAAGAGCGCGTAGGACATGAGGGACATGTTGCGCGAGGTGACCAGGACCTTGAGCAGGGGCACCGTGACGGACGAGTCCAGCATGCACCCGTGGTTGGTCGCTGCATGCGCCCCCTCCCCCCCAATGCATACAATATCGGTTGAGAGGGCGCTCTCCACCGATGCTTGGGGGGAGGAGGGGGTGCGCAGCCGCCGCACCGGATTCCGACAGGTTGGCGAGCAGCTTGAGGGCGTAGGCCTGCAGGTGGGGGTTGCCGCCGCTGAGGCCAACCACCCAGATTATGGCCTGGGGCACCTCACACACGCTCTCCTTGTTGGCGTCTACGGCAGCGAGAAGATGATGTTACTCACAGAGCGACATCTCAGAGAAGACGAAGAAGAAGACGAAGAAGGCCAACGCCAGCGCACCGTTGTTGGTGAGGTTGATGAGAGCCCAGAGAGCGTTGGCCTGTATGTTTTCGTTGGGTAGCTGGAGTAGGTTGACCAACAGTGGGATGCCACCGCCATCGTAGACGTCGTCCCTGCTGGGCTCTGTGGGGGTGGTGTGTGGTCGCCAAGCAAAAAGGCGCGTTTGTGTGTGGGCGTGGGTGTGCACCGAAGGAAGGAGAAGCGGGAGCGGAGGGTGAGCACCATCGACGGAGATGTTGATGAGGGCGCGAGAGGCCAGCTCGAGCACTTCGTCGTCCTGTGACTTGAGGCATTGGATAGTGGCGTCGATGGCGCCTTTCTCGAACAACTCGAAACTGTTGCTCACGTCTGGATGCTCCCAAGTGAATTTGAAGGCGCCCATCGTTGCTGCGGTTGCGTGCATCGCCACTAATGGGCACAGTGCGGGGGGGGGAGGGCTGGCCTACCTAGAGCGCGCTTGCCAATCTCTATCAAAGCCTGCTTACGGAACTCGGGCTGGATCGCGTCGGCGGCCAGCAACTGGGCCAACTGCGGAATGGAGAAGCTCCTGATTTTCAGGGCAAGGGGGGCTACGCACCGTCATCTCCCATATTAGAAGAAGATTCATCCATTATTGCGCATTGGACTGCGCTGGGGGGGGGATCACGTACTGGGCTTCTCACTGTCCTCTTCGTAGAAGCAATACGAAGCGGTGGCAAATGCGGGCATGGCACGTAATGCCCCCTTTTGCGCTGCTGCCCTGCTGTGGTGTGCTCTCTTGCCTGAACGGGTGTGCTTGATTTTTCTTTTTCTTTTATTTCTTTTATTTCTTTTTTTGGTCCTTGCTGCCACTCGAGATGTCGAGCGGGCAGCCCTCTGGTTGTCTGCCCGGCCGCGCTCCTCCTTCACAAGTTTTGCCTGTTGTGGGTGGGTGGGTGGTGGGGAGGCTTTGTCAATTGCTGCTGCTGCTGCTTGCGAGGCGGAGGGAGAAGTTCTGACCCAACTCTGGGGTGAGCGACCAGGGCGGAGTCCACGGAGGCGATCCAGTTGTTCCAGTGGTCCGGGTGCTGATACCATTCGACTGCAGACGAGAATAACACCCGCCACCGGTGAGCAACGAGTGGCCGCTCGGGCGGGTGGGTGGGAGGTGGCTGCTGGTTGGCGTACTGGTTTTGGCGAGCCCCTCCTCGAACAACACTTCGGGCTTCCACCCGAGCTTCTGCATTTCAGAGCCGTCGATCCAGTACCTGTAGAGTACAAGATAAGAAAAGATAAGATAGGATGGGCGGTTGAGGGAGATAGATCGAGATGGTTGGTTTGCGGAGGAGGAGCACCTCAGATCGTTGAACATTCGGTCTTCGACATACTCGAGGTATTCGCTCTCCTGGTCTTCCAGGCCGAACGCCTTGAGCAAACGACGAGCCACGTCGAGGTTGGAGTAGCAGTCCTCGGAGCCAATGCTGTAGACCTTGCCTGCCGCGTGGAGTCACGCACAACACGCCGACGCGTGTGCACAACCCGCTGAGCTTTGGCCACTACGGGAAACCAATCACGGATGGTGGGACAACCCAAGGATGGCGCACCAACGACCCCGCGGTGGATGATCTCATCGAAAGCAGCAGCCACGTCTCCGGCAAAGATGTAGTTGCGCTTGTTGCTTCCACTACCGTGGATGAAGCTGCATAGAACTCATCAAGTTCAACCGCGGCACCTTTGCCCGACACACACTACCTTAGCAGCTGGAGGCACACCATACCACTTCCTTCCTCGACGCAGTAGGGAGATGAACTTGGGGATGATCTTTTCGGGGAACTGGTGCGGCCCATACACGTTGTTGGACCGGGTGATGATGACGGGCAGGTTGAAGGAGCGGTGGTAGGAGCTGCCCAACCAACACCCCCCACCCCCGTCATGATCACGGCCGGCACAGTGGTGAGTGACCGCTGCAGCGGCGTCGGAAGAGAGGGGAGGGGGAGAGTACCGAACAACAAGCTCAGCACCAGCTTTGCTCGCCGCGTAGGGGTTGGTGGGCTCCAAGATGTTGTCTGCGCCGATTTGCTGCGGGCCAAACCAAGTGGAAGCGTGAGACAACGTCGCAGGCCAGAAAGCAGTACCCTCACGGATACCACGAGAGTGAGTGGTGAGTGGTGAGTGGTGAGTGCCTCGTTTTCCCCCTTGACCTCGTCGGTGGACACGTGGATAAACCGCTTGATGCCGGCCAGCTGGCGGGAGGAAGAAAGGGCCCGGTCAGAGCCAGTACGCCAGGAGCTGGGCCTTTGGGGGGGGGGGTCGTTCGTGGGCGGACGGTACCTTGGCGGCTTCCAGGAGGACGTGGGTGCCCAACACGTTGGTCTCGGTGAACTGGAAGGAGTTGCCGAACGAGTTGTCTGCAGTGGGCGAAGGGTAAGGGGCCACGGCACGAACGAAAGGGCGGGGTAGGGGTGGGGGTACTGTACCCACGTGAGTCTGCGCCGCGAAGTGGACAATGGTGTCGATCTGCTCCTCCTCCAAGATGAAGCTGACCAGCTCAGCCGAGAGAATGTTGCCCTGCACCATACCACGGACGACAGGTCGGTTGTGGGCAGCAGTGAATCTCTCTTTGCTCCGAGCCGGGCAGGGGCGAGCAGGTGAGAAGCGACGCACCTCGACAAATCGGTAGTTGGGCTTGGACTGCAGAGAGGCGATGTTCTTGAGGGAGGAGCAGTAGTCCAGCTTGTCGTAGTTGACGATCTTGTAGTCCGGGTACTTGTTGACCAGCAGGCTCACCACATGAGAGCCACTGCCAGCAACGGCAGTTAGTAGGTGGCCAGATGGAGGAGGGCCTGGCGGTGGAGGAGGAGGAGGAGGAGGAGATGATGTACATGAAGCCTGCACCTCCAGTGATGAGGATGTTCTTAGGCGAATACTCAGTTCCCATGCTGCCAGCTACAGACGAAAGATGTTGAGTTTGGATCTCCTTCTTTCTTGTCGCTTCTACGTCCCCCTCAGAAAAGGAAATAACACTCCAAACAGGAGCAGGAGCCCCAGACACAACATTTTCTTTATAAAACAAATAATAATAACAAAAAGTGCTTTTCACTGGTTGCGGGTGTGTTTCATATTTCTCTTTTCATTTCTTTTCGTTCCTGGCGAAAAGGCAAACTAGCCGTTGGTGCGGCCACAAACGGCTGCGTCGGTTGTGGGTCTAGTTTTGATTCTCTGTACACCGAGAAGAGAAAGAGAGAGAGAGTTCAATCCCTTCCAGAGCACCTAAAAGGATGGCGGACAAGAGCGGCGATGCGGGTGTGGACAAGACGAGCAAGATGACGCCCATCTCTCGCTCGGCGAGGGCTGGGCTGCAGTTCCCCGTTGGGCGCATCCATCGCTTCCTCAAGCAACGCGCGACCAACAATGGGCGAGTGGGTGCCACGGCGGCCGTCTACAGCGCTGCCATCTTGGAGTACCTTACGGCCGAGGTGCTCGAGCTGGCGGGCAACGCATCGAAGGACTACAAGGTGAAGCGCATTACGCCGAGGCATCTTCAGTTGGCTATCCGTGGCGACGAGGAGCTCGATACGCTCATCAAGGCCACAATCGCAGGCGGCGGTGTCATCCCGCATATCCACAAGTCTCTCATCAAGAAGTCGAACAAGAAGGAGCAGGCCGGACAGTGACACCATCTCAGATGAGCGTGTAACCCTCGCAGCCCCCCTCCCCTCCCACGAACCCACAAGGCCTCGATCAGATTTTGGCTGTACAGAAGAAAATTCGAATGCAAAAAAAAAAGAGGATGAATCCATCACCCCAACTCTCAACAGTCACTTCAGGTGGCGGATGCATGGAGTGGTAAAAGCATTGAAAAAATAAACACACACAAAAGGAAGTCTTGGGCTGCATCATGGAGCACATCTCACAGACCGGGAGGGAAGGCAGAGACGGTGGCCGTGTCCACCACCTTCGTCCCGCCGATGCTGTACTCCACTCGGATCTTGAGCATCAGTGGTTTCTGTCATGCAACGCGCGTGCCACCGCGTGAGTCGCCGCGCGTGGGTGCAGCGTGGGTGCGTTATGACGGTATCTTCGCACGTCGTACCTGTCCGTGGAGCGAGTTGTGGAGGGTGATTTGTTGCGTCACCGCCCCGTGGCCGTGCGGCGGCACCTCCGTCCCCGACGGAGATCCCAGAGTCAGCGTGATATACTGCACCGCCGCCACCGCCGCCGCCACGGGGTTGGGTTGGGTTGGGTTGGGTTGGGTTGGGTTGGGTTGGGTTGGGTTGGGTTGGGTTGGGTTGGGTTGGGTTGGGTTGGGTTGGGTTGGGTTGGGTGATGTGTGTTCGTCGTTAGTCAGTTCACAGTCTCGGGTGGGGGCATTGGTTGTGCGCACCTTGGGGACGGCAGCCTGCAGCTCAAAGCCGGTGATGGGGGTCGGGGTGGAATTAGTGGTGGTGGAGGTGAGGACGACCGTGTCCGAGGCGTGGCCACCCGGCTTGCTGAATCCAAACACGATGCTGAGGCCGTTCTTGGCCAGCGCAGTGAGCGGAGGGTACGCTCCTGATGCACCCCCCACCCCCACCCCCAGCGCCATGAAGGAAGGAAGGAAGGAACAGGGCGCAGTGTCAGTTGGCCACCCTCTGCTGTTCTTCTGCCGGTGGCACATTGCGCCCCGAGATTGGGGTGGGGGTGGGAGAGAGAGTGAGAGTGGGTACCCGGTGACATGACGGGGGAGGCTGGCGCAAGGCTGGGTCCGTTGAGCACGTCGAGGAGCGAGGGTCCGGAAAGCGAAGGCGGCGGCGCCTCGGTGAGGATGTCCAGCAGGGAAGGCCCCGTGGCCGCTGCCGGCGGGCGCGTGGTAGGTCCTGTAGTCCGAGAAGTCCCCCAGCCAGCCAGCCAAAACCAAACCGTGCCACCCCGCGCGTCAGCCGTCGTGCGCTCCCCCCCCCCAGGCGATTGGGGGGTGATGGGGGTGACTGGGGGTGTGATGATGCATACCCGAGGGAGCGGCGACGGGGACCGACGAGGAGGGGAGGTCGCCAAAGAACTGCTTCATGATGTCCAGCGGGTCGTGGGCGCCGTTGGTGGCAGCGGAGGGAGCGAGGCTGATGAGGGACTGAGCGGTGACGACCTCGGCCGCCTGCTCGCTGCCTTCGGCGTCGGTGTCGCCCTCGGCCGCCGGCATGCGCTCGAGAAGAGCGCCGCGGAGCGACGACGAATCGGGCCGGGCGAAGATGTTGGCGTATTCGCACGAACGCTGTTGCAGCTCCACGTTGATGTGTGATCGGAACTGCCCGATGAGCGACTCAATGCGCCTGTGCGACGTGAGTGTGAGTGTGTAGCTGAAGCGTGCGTGCGTGCGTGCGTGCGTGCGGCGGGCGGGCGGGCGGGCGGGCGGGCGGGCGAAGGAGTCACCGTACTCGGTGTTGGAGTGGAAGCGGGTGGTGAGCTTCATGAGGGCGGTGAGGACGAATTCCTTGGTCTTGGGTTCGGTGACGACGTTGCGCAGCACCTTCTCGAGCAGACTGACGACGTCGTCTTCAGACACGGCTATGGGGTCGTGCTTCTTCACAACCACCGGGGCGGCCACCAGCAGATCTCCGAACTCGCCCAGGCACCACACAGCCACTTGCACCAGCGCCTGCCCCCACCACCACCACCACCACCACCACCACCACCACCACCACCCGATTGAAGAACCGCGTGAGATGCGACACAGACACACAACACACGCTACACGACACACGCGCTACCTGCTGCTTAGGCTCGTTGGCGAGCGCGAGGTAGAGCTTGCCTACTGCATAGGCGTGGAGCTCGGGCGTCGCGGCGATGAGTCCGATCAACGACGACTGTATTCGCTCGGAGATGTGATGGCCCGGCAGCGCCATCACCCGCAGCACCGTGTCAACGCGCCACTTGGCCGTAGGCGCGTAGCGCTCCGCGACGGCGCAGATCTTGGCTGTCAGGTCGGGTCGCAGCTCGTGATCGGCCACCGTCAGGAAATTGGTCATCTCCCTCACGAGCGGTCGCACGTTCTCGGCGTTCACCAGCACGTAGATCAGCTCCAGCGCCCTGTCTCGCCAACCGACCACACCGATCGATCGATCGATCGATAGGTGGGTGAATATTTACGTGCAGTGTGTAGAGACACTCAAGTCAGCAGCTGTTCCCCCCCCCGGGGGGGGGAGAGGGTTGTGGGTGGGCCAGCAAGCAACCGCTGGCGCCAGTGTGTTTGGGGGCGGGGGCGGGGGGCGGGGGGTACGCACCGGCGGCGGATGGAAACGTCCGAGTCCTTGAGGCAGTCAACGATGGTGGCGCGGTGTCGCTGGACGGCGGCCGAGTCACGGCCCACCACCTTGGCCAGCGTGTTGAGCGCCACGTATCGGATGTTGTTGTCCCTGTCGAATTGTTGTGTGGCATGTGAGCGTGTGTCGTGTCGTTGGTCGTGTCGTGTCGTGGTCCACTGGTCCACGTGTACCGATTGAGGAGGAAGCGGCCGAGGATGTTAATGGCAAGGACGCGCAGGCCGGCCTCGGCCTCGATGCTCATGATCGTCTGCACACACTCGTACAGGATCGCATTTCCCACGTTGCGCAGGCTCTCTGTGTTCGTCGCCACCTACGCATCCCCCCCCGCGACACGGCATGGATGTCAAAACGTTACTCCCTCCGCGGCGACAAGGTCTTGCAAAGGCAAAGGCAAAGGACAGTTGAAGCCGTGGGGCTGCCAACAATGTGTCTCATACATACATACAACAGAAAATAGAAACAATAAATAAATAAATAAATAAATAAGAAGTAAATAACAGAAGAAGGGGAGGAAGAAGATTACCTGGGCAAGGATCTCGTTCATGGCGTCGGAGGCCTCTGTGTTGCCGCGGCCAAGGAGGCGCAGGAGCTGGAGGACCTTGACCTGGAGGAAGGGGTCGGTGATGCCCTGCACGTCGTGCTCGGGCGCGTAGCCGGACATGACAAGATTCTTGAGGATGCGCACGAGCGCCGGCACGAGCTTGCGGAAGAGATCTATGACGCCAGCATCCGGGGGAGAGGCCTCGCAGAGGGAGATGATGAGGGTGACCGCGGTGAGGAGGACGCCGTGGTTGCGCTCGGTGAGGAGCGACTTGACCCGCGGCACGAAGTTTTCGATGGCCTCAGGCACCTTCCTCACGATGCGCACCGCCGCCAATGCCGCCTAGCCATTCCAGTGAATGAATGAATGCGGCCTCATTCATCAGTTTGTGGCTGGGCCGAGAAGAGAGAGAGGGAAGAGATGGGCAAGGCTTTGGGGGGTACCTTCTTGCGAAGGTAGGGATTGGAACTGCCGAGCAGTTTCTGAACGTCGGAGGAAGCGTCGCGCGCGATTTCGGGTGACGAGATGTTGGCCACCGCGCACAGGGCCAATCCCACCACGTACTGGTTGGCATGGTTCAAATCGCTTAAGGTGGTGGTATGGTGGTGGTGGGGATGAAGTGTCAGAGAGGTAAGCTCGGTAGGGCGCGCGAGGGGGTACCTTTTAAGCGAATGTGTGGCGAGCATGAGAACCTCCTGCCGCTCATCAAGTAGCAGCATCAGACCGAGGTAGCCGATGCGCTTGTCGTTGTAGGAGGGGGAGGCAATGAGCTTGAGGCACTCCATCTGGCCGAAGTGAGTCGGGTAGCCCAGCATGTGGATGTACAGTAGCTTGGCCACATTGCGGTGCCTCGTCTCAGAGTCCTCCTCCCTGAATGCAGCGCGAATGGCCGCACATTCCTTGGCGATGACGGAGCGCTCGTCGGCGGCCGTTTTGCAGTTGCGCACCGCCTTGATCAAATCCCTCAGCTTCGACGCCATCTTCGGTCTTGTGTGAACTGCTGCTGTTACTCGCGCCACACCAACGCCGAAAAGAAAAGGGTCAGGAAAACAGAGCCTGAAAATGAAAAATGCACCTAACTTTTTTATTTTCATTTTTCATTTTTTTTGGTTCTTATACTGCTAGCCTCGGTGGGTGGACTAATATGGGCAGGAGCGTCTGCTCACGAGTCTTGCGACCAATGAGCGGTGTACGCTGCGGTGGTCAACTGGCAGGCCCCTCTCTTTGTCCCAACTTCGATTTCCACCCGTCCGGCCAAAAGCACTTTCTTCTCCGTCCGCTCATCTTCGGAACATCCTCAGCCCGAGGGAGGAAAGAAAGTACACCACCAGCCACCACCAGCCACCACCACCATGTTCAAGAACAGGAAGGAAAAGGACACCAAGAAGGGAAGGAAGGAGGACGTCCCTGGTATAGTATCCCATCCCTCGCTTCCTTTTCCTTTTCCTTTTCGCTGGCCTCCTTCCCCTTCGGGGACCCTCTCTCGGTTGCTCGACAGTACACATGAGATGATGAACAATCGACCACCTCCACCCTCCACCTCCACCTCCACCTCCACCTCAACATCGACAACACCTCAACAACGAACAACATCAATTATTAACAAACAACCACCTCCAACACTCACGCACCCACCCATCCAACACACACACACACATACACCAGGCGGAAGGTCATCCGACTACGACACGGAGAAGAGGAAGAGCCACGAGCAGAAGAAGCCCGCTGACTCGGAGGAGGCCCGCGAGGTCGAGCCCGACTCGGAGGAGGAGCGCAAGAGGCGCGAGGAGGAGCGCAAGAAGCGCGAGGAGGAGGACCGCAAGCGCAAGCGCGAGGAGGAGAAGCGTAAGGAGGAGGCCAAGCAGAAGCGCGAGGAGGAGCGCCGGAAGAAGAAGGAGCTCGCCGACCGCAAGAAGCAGGAGGAGGAGCGGCGGAGGGCCGAGGAGGCCGAGGACGATGACGGCGAGGTCCAGGAGCTCGAGGCCATCCCCTACGAAAGCACCGGGGGCGTGGGCTACAAGGAGATGTACAAGCACTTCCCCTACACCGACCACCCCGAGGTGTTTGCCTCCTACGACAAGCTCCAGACCTTCGCCCGCGAGTACCTCCCCCCCACCTCCATAGATAGATAGATAGATATAGATACATACATACATGTGTGGACGTGGCCACTTCTCTCGAGGTGTTGAAACGATTCGTTGATTCATCCCCCCCAACCCCCCTCCCCAACCCAGGTTGAACACGCAGGTGGCGGCGCCCGAGATCGTGGTGATCGGACACCAGGGCCACGGCAAGTCGTCGATCATCGAAGGCATCCTTGGCCACCACGTCACCTTCACCGGCTACGGGGTACACGCCGCTCCCCCCCCACACTGGGCCGGTAGTTGGTAGGGTGGTGGTGGTGGTGGTGGTGGTGGTGGTACTCATTCTTCATATGCCTCTGTGTGTGTGTGTGTCCGTATGTATGCATGTAAATGTATATGTGCATGTACGACCGCGGGGAATGATGGCGGAATCGACCCATTCGACCCGGCAGGCAACGAAGCGCCCGCTGTTCTTGAACCTGATCAACAACCCCAAGTGCGATAGGCCGCGGGTGACGCTCAAGCGCGACCCCTTGCTCAAGGGCCCCGAGTACGACCACGACGTCGTCGTTGCCCTCTCCGACCTCCCCGAGGAGCTCCAGAAGCGCAACAAGCTCAACAAGCTCTCCGAGGTTGGACTCCCCCCGGCTCTCTCGCTGGCAGCTGGCCAATGGCTTTTCTCACCGTCACACACGACACACGACACACACGACACACACACACACACACACACACACACCATTTCTACAACGTAGGAGCCGGTGTTCCTGCAGTACGAGTACCGTTACTGCTCCAACCTCACCCTCATCGACACGCCCGGCCTGCTCAAGGTGCCTCCCCTCCCGGTTTCGGTTTACGTCCCCTGTGGACTGGTCAACCCCCTCCTCCCCCCGTGTGTGTGTGTGTTGTATGTATGTATGTGTGTGTGTGTGTGTGTGGAAGGCGAGCTGAAATCTTTGGTGGCCAAAGGAGGAGGACGCCGACGCCACGGGCGAAGTGCAGGCGATGATCAACAACCTGGTGAAGCACCCCGACAGGTTCATTCTGTGCGTGGAGGAGGCCAAGGACTGGGACAAGCTCGACATGATGGATTTCATCAAGAAGTTCGATCCCGAGTTCTCGCGCACCACCTTTGTTTACACCAAGCTCCACTTCCACCTGCAGCGCTTCACCTCCGCCAGGTAACTGTCCACCTCCCCCCCCCGCCTCTCATGATCGGTACCACGATGATGGCCGCTCCCACAATCTCTCATCGCCCCGTCGGCGTGTACAACACTGTTTTCTTCTGACGATGATCACGATGGCCATGATGACGGTGACGTTAATACACCTGTATGCATGTACGTCGTGCGCGTCGGCTCCGTGATCAGGCAGGTGAACAGGTACCTGCAGGGCACGATCCCCGACGCCCACTGTTTCTTCACCACCATGCTGCCTTCGCGTGTGCGCGCCCGCTACGCCGACCCGGAGAAGTTCCAGGAGAAGATCTACCAGGTTTGTTTGGCTCTTATGTTATTCTTTCTTATTTATTTATTTTTATTATTACCGCTACCTCCTCCCTTTGCACGTGTTGTTGTTGTTGTTGTTGTTGTTGTTGTTGTTGTTGTTCTTATTATTCTTATTACTCTTATTATTATTATTATTGTTCTAGTGCACGCGCAGGGACATCAAGGCGCTGGAGCAGCTGCAGTACGACAGGAGGCACGAGTCGAACATCGGTGCGGTGCAGCTGCGCCAGTACCTGCTCAACCTGGCGTGGAAGCGGTACCAGGACGACATCCCGCAGATCCTGAAGAGGCTGCGCGCCAACAAGGCCGAGAACGAGCTCCGCCTGCGCAAGGTGCAGGCCCAGCTGGAGGGCCTCAACTCGGTGAAGCTGCGGTCGATCGCGTCGGACTACGTGGTCAACTTCCTCCAGGCCGTCGACAAGCTGCTGGCCGGCACCTCCGAGGGCAACCCGGCAGTCAACGGGCAGACCCTCGACGAGGAGAAGCAGCACCTGGGCGACGGCGATTGGGTGGACTCCCACAACAAGCTCATCAAGGTCGAGTCCGAGGACTGGGGCATCCCCTACTGGGAGTCGCGCCTCTACGGCGGCCAGCAGTTCGAACGACTCCTCGCCGAGTTCAAGGCCGTCGCCGACCACCAGAAGCTCCCCGAGGTGAGCATGGACGACATCGCCACCGCCGCCGGAATCAACAAGCTCAACAACATCCCCAACTACGCCTGGGCCGCCTCCGACCTCGCCCAGCAAAGCGCACGCGAGGAACTCGCCCCCCTCATCGACCAGGTACAAATATTTATATTTATATTTATATATTTATATATATATCTACCCCTCCACCCCAACCTTGACCTCAAACACACCACAACGCCCAACCCCGCGGCACGCGTGATCCCCTCTCCCCTCCCCCCCTCCCCCCCAACGAACATGTGGTCGACATTGACCACGTTCCACGTTTTGTGGTTGTGCTTGGCGGTGGTGGCTGGTGGTGGTGGCTGGTGGGCGCGAGCAGGCGGTGAAGCGTGCGACGTACATCCTGCGGAGGTTGCCCGACATCGTGGACAAGATGCTGGACGCCAGGCGGCGCGGACGCCTCGAAGGCGGTTGGGCTCCGGCCGCGGGCTCGGTCGATGTCAACAACATCGACATGTACCCGTTCTTCACGTACCACGTCAAGGTACCCAGCCCCCCCTCCTGCTTGCTGGCGCTCTCGCTTCCAACAGCGTTAACCCACTCGCTCTCTCTCCTCCCCCAATCATTATTATTATTATTATTATTATTATTTAGGATTTGTACAACAAGTTCGTGGAGAGAACCGCCACTGCGCTGGCCTCCAAAGCGATGGACGAGTTCTACGGCACCCGCACCATCTTCTGGGAGTACACGGAATACGCCGACACCAAGCTCCCCATGGACAGGTCGGACGCTGACGAGACTCGCCGGTACTCTCTCTCTCTCTCTCTCTCCCTATCCCTCCCGCCCCATTGGGCTAAAACTAAGAGTGCCGCGACCCTCCCAATGTCCATTGATCGCACACGACACATACAAACCCAACACACACGACACACACGACACACACGACACACACACAACACACGACACACACACAACACACGACACACACACGACACACACAGGGCTGTCGATTCCTTGGCCAAGGAGCTGTTCACCCGCCTGAGGGAACGCATCACCAAGAACGTGCTGCTCAAGTTCTACAACTTCCTGCTCGTTCCGATGCAGGCCGAACTGTGGACCGAGATCCAGGGCGCCGTGACTACTCTCTCCGACGACCAGGTTGGTTTGCGCCTTGTTCAACACTTGTCGTCTCTGAGCCTCCTGGCGATGCTCTCTCGTGAAGTTGACCCCATCTCCACTTTCTTTCTCCCGCGTCGCAGTTGGAGCAGATCTTCGAGGTGGCGGCCACCAAGAACAAGCTCAAGGAGGACGAGAAGGCGCTGAGCCGCGGTATTGAGGCCTACGCCACGCAGGAGGTCCACTTCATCAAGTCGGCCACCCAGTTCTCCCACCCCATCTACGTCCTGTCGCAGGGCAACCAGTGATAGAGACTGGTGTCGGGGATCCCCCCACCACCACCACGGATGCTCAGTAGAGGGGGGGGAAGGGGATGCGCAGCATTGAGCCTATGCTGCTGCTGCTGCTGCTGATGCCGCTGCTGCCGCTGCTGCTGCGGTCTATCGTGTCAGAGCGGCATCATCGTTACATTACTGGGAGGAGCAAAAATATGAAAGAATAAAACCTTTTTTTTTCCATTTTCTTATCTTCCTAGACCAAGCCGCAAATGGGAAAAACAACTTTCCATTCTGCACACCCGTTTGTCTTTCTCCTCCTTCTTTCTGCTCGTCGCCGTCCCACACATTACGTCGCTCATAGTATTATTCGCGAGCACCTGATGCGGTCAGTTCTTTGTGTAGCTGCTGCGCTGTGCTGGCTGCTGTCGCACTGGGCCGCGCTGACGTCGGGGGCGGTGGTGGTACCGCGAAGCCCGGTGTGGGACATCGTCCCTACATGGAACGCGCCGCCGCTGGTCTACCCCAACCAACCGGTTCCCGACGCTCCGCTGCTGGGCAACGGGGGCAAGCTCGGGGTGGTGGTCGGCAGCCGTCCGCTGGGCGACCAGCTGACCTTCTACCTGGCCAAGAACGACTTCTGGGCGGCCCCGATCTCTGGCTTCTCCCACCTGGGCTACGGCGACGGAGGCCTCCGCCAGGTCGGCGGACTGCGCGTCACCATTCCCGCCTTCGACTCCGACCTCTCTCGGCAGGGCGCCCATGAGCAAGCCACCGCCTCCTCCTCCCTTCCCGGCACTACTCCCTTCACCGCGTACCAGTTCATGGGCAACGCCTCGGTCAAGGTCATCCAGCGCTACGACTGGACCGTCACCTCGGAATCCTTCGTGGCGCCCGACGTCAACCTCATGGTCACCTCCCTGGACTTTGTGAGGCCTGCACCAACCAAGCTGGCCGCCGCCGCCGCCGCCGTGGTCAATGTGACCGTGTGGCTTCCGGCCGGCGGGCAGCTGCCCACTTCCACAGGCTACGTGCTGGCCGACGGTCGCACCTTCTCTCTCAGGCCCGGCCAAGGCCGCCCACACGCCGCCGACGGGTACGTTGTTGTTTGTTGTTTCTTTGCTGTTCTCACCATCACTGCGCGCTCATGCATAGACCTCCTTTGATGCCCCCTCCCCCTCACCATGTGTGGTCGTGTGTGTTGTGTGTCGTGTGTGTGTGTCGTGTGTGTGTCGTGTGTGCCTATTTGACTGGCGTGGGTCATCCACGCAGGATCCGACTTAACGAGAAGCAGGCGGCCCAGGTGGAGAGCGTGTTCGTCACGCGGACTAACGGCAGCCCCTACCAGGTGTTGCCCAACGCCAAGCAGCCCAAACCTTTCCTGAACACCGCCGTCATCGCTTGCCGGTGCCTGTTGCCCCCCCCCTCCTTTCTTCACGCATGCGTGGTGGTATAAGGGCATTGGCTCAGCATGCGTGTTGCTGGTGGTGCCGGTCTTGGTCTTGGTGTCGGTGGTGTGTGGTTCAGGCTGATGTGGGACAATGGGACCAGCCTTACGCCGGCGGCGGTCGCCATCAATCAGGACCAGGTGGAACTCTCCATCTTGGCACCAACGAATGGCCAACGCATCTTCCTGCTCACCTACGTACAGCCCTCCTGCCCACGCCCACGCCCACGCCCACGCCCACGCCCACGCCCACGCCCACGCCCACGCCCACGCCCACGCCCACGTCCACGCCCGCATCTGACTCGACGGATCCGGATTCCTGGGCGGCGTTGCAGGTGCTGAGCAACGCTGACGCAATGGGCCAAAACATCGACCCGCAGCACGAAGCCACCCTCGCTCTGCACCTCCAGACGCCCAAAACGATCGAGGCCGCCCTCAACAGGTTCGACTTTCTTCTAGCACGGCGACATTGTTGAACAAGCTGTGCTCAACACACGGCCTGGCCGTGTTCTGTGTTCTGTGCAGCACGCTGGATCACTGGCTCTTGTATTGGAATGCGTCGTCGGTACTGTGGAATGACGATCCGCTGACCACCGGCTACTGGTACGGGTCACAGTACATTTTGGGCCTCATCTCCCGGAAGGGCGCTGTCGGTAAGCCCCACCCCCCACCCTCCCCCTTCTTTCATCCCCCCCCCGGGTCCCCCCATCTCGCCAGGGTTTGTTTGTTTGTTGCGTGCGTGCGTGCGTGCGTGTTTGTTGATTTATTTATGTGTCGCTTCCGGCAGCCCCGGGTCTGTTTGGGTCGTTCATCACCACGGACGGGTTGCCGTTCGGCGGCGACTTTACGCTGAATTACAACTTCCAGGCTCCCTACTACGCCGCCGCGTCGTCCAACCGCCTCGAGGTGATGGCGCCCTTCTTCGACGTCATCATCGACTACATGGCCAAAGGCGAACAGATGGCTGACGATTACTTTGGATGTCCGGGAGTCCACTACCCTGGCCACATTGGCCCGTGGGGTATGACGTCGACTGATGTGGGTGACATGGGCCAGCGGTCCGACGCTGTGTTTGCAGCCCTCATATTCGCGCACCGCTACATGTACTCTCTCGACGACACCTGGCTCAAGGCTGGTACGTGCGCGTAGTGTTGTTGTTGTTTGTAGGGAACAATCTCTCTCTCTCTCATCACCGGCGCGGGTGGTCTTCCAGAGGTGGGCGTACTGCAACGAACGCCGTACGACTTCCTGACGGGCGTGGCTGACTTCTGGTTGTGCTACCTACAGAAGAACGTCACCCAGAATGGCACCTATACCTACAATAGCGTGAACGACTGCACTTTCGAGCTGTGCGGCAGCACGACCAACGGTGTGGCCTATGACGTCAACCCAACCAGCACCTTGTCCTTCCTGCGCCTCCTGTTCAGCACCCTCGCTACAGCGGAGCAACGTGCGGCGGCGGCGGCCGCCACTCAGTCTTCTGCGGCGGCGGCTGCGGCTGTGAAGCGTGCTCGGCAGTATCAGGACGTGGCGGACAACTTGGCGCCGTTTGCCACGGGCATCTCCGGGTCGACGGGGCAAAAGGTGTTCCAGGCGTCGTATCTGATAGCTCCGCAACCGCCGGGAGGCAACCCTCTGGACACCTACGCCTTGTGGCCCGCGGGCACCATCGGCCTGGGCTCCGACCCCGACACGCTCCTCGTGGCCCAGAACACCATCAAGAGCGTCGACAGCTGGGCGCAGGGCAACGCCTTCCCTCAAGTACGTTGGCGCCCACACACCTGTCCTGTCGCGTCTCAACAGGAGGAGTGATCACCTGCCAGCGGCAGCAGCAGCAGCAGCAACAACCGACAGCGATTAACAACACCTTGGCGCCTTGTGTGCAGATCTTCCCGGCGGCTGTGCGGGCCGGTTACAATAGTACTGACCTGCTGGCGCACTGGCGCAAGACCCTGCAGACCTGGTGTCAAACCAACCTTTACTGCAGCGTGTCTCACAGCGGCATAGAAGGTCTTGGGGCGCTTGGTACTGTGAACGAGATGTTGATGCAGGTGCGTGTGCCCCACCAGCGGCCACTCACCCTATGCCATAACATATATCTATATCTATATATTTCTATTTCCACGCACATCAGAGCCATGAGGGCTACATTCGGATATTCCCTGGTGTTCCGCTGGGAAGCCGCTATTTCTTTACCACACTCCGGGCTATCAATGCCACACTTGTGTCGGCCTGGGTGGATGAGATCGGCTTTGTGCATGATATGGTCGTTACCAGCGAACAGGGATCGCCCATCATCCTCTACCAGCCCTGGGAGATGCAAAAGGCCATAGGCGCGCCCTTCTCCCCACCACCGTTGTTCACATGTCCCCTCCCTCACTAACTGCTTGCTTGCGGTTTGTTTGGACGTTCGTGGTGCGCAGGTATTTGCTACTATGGGACACAGGACTGTAAGCAGCTTGCCTGCCCAGGCAACATCTGCTCCTTCACCAATCCCGAGAAAGGGCAGACCTACAGCATCCTTCCATTTCCCTGAACCACAAAAGGGTGGATGTTGGGGTGTGCGCGGGACCGAGTGATTAAATTACAAAAAGAATATTTTAGCAAAAAAAAACAAAAAACAAAATGCCTTCCCGCCAAAAACAAAAAAGGAAAGAGGCGGAAAGAGGGCCTTTCGTCGACGGGAACAACCCCACAGAAGAAGAAGATCACCGGTGGTGCCGTATGATGGAGAGACCCGCAACGGAGGCGCCCGGCGAAGTGGACAAAGCGCGCCAGCGCGTACTGAGCTACTACCGCCACCTATTCCCCGGCCTGAGCCAGCAGAAGCTGGACGGTGAGAAGGCGGAAGCGGGCACGGCTGATTCCCTCGAGGCCGTGCCCACTGTGGCCCTTGACCCGGCCTTCGACCTCTCACCCGAGGCTGTGGGTAAGGGTTGGACCTCGCAGCCCCAGGTACGTACTCTTCTCCTCCTTCTTTTTCGGTTCCCCAGCACAAGATGATTGTAATTGTTTATTGTTCTTGAATGCAATCTTCGGCGTAGGAGTTCGACTACGAGCTGGAGGTGGAGGGCGAGCTTCCAGCCGAGCTGCACGGCACCCTCTTTCGTAACGGCCCGGTATGCAAATCGTCCCCTCTGCAAAAATCAAACAGTAATGCGCCTGAACATGCGGTGATCCCTCACTCACTCGGCCACTACGCGCCACTGCACGGTCATAAGGGGCTGCTGGATGTCTACGGCACTCCGTTGGTGCACCCCATTGACGGCGATGGCATGGTACTTTTCGATCTTGCGCGAGGCTCCTTCTGGAAGCACCGCCATTTCCCCACTGGGGCCAACAATGGAGCACCAACGGTCGTGTGTGTCGAGATGATGCGGGTTATGTTCAGGTATGCGCGATCAAGTTCGCGGAGGGAAAGGCCCACTTCCGCTCCAAGTACGTGAAGACCACGGGCTACATGATGGAGAAGAAGGCGCAAAAGCTCATATTCAAGGGTACCACCCTGGTTCTTTTACCGCCCACACAGCCATCGTTCGTTGGTTCAAATACTTGCTCTCCCGTTCTCACGTGTGGCTGGGATTCTCATCGTTCTTGCAGGTATGATGGGCACTAAACCATCACCTACCTGGGGCGAGGCTCTCTCGGAGTGGTACTTGCACACGCACATATGAATGTTAGACAACACACACACACACACACACACACCGTACATGTAGTATGCAGCACTGTGTGTTGTGTTCGTCTGGCCTGTGTGTTCATTAGCGGTTGCTATGATACTGCATACAGGAAGGAAGACGTCATGAAGTCCAAGCTGCCTGGCCAGCGGTTCAAAAATCCAGCCAACACAAACGTTTACTACTGGGGCGGCAAACTCCTGGCCACCTGGGAGTCTGGTAATACTGAACTCCTACTTGTGGTTGTGGTGTGATGTACCTCGAGACCATCGAAAATAACAACACAATCACCGTATTAGGGTTACCGTACCTGCTCGACCCCGCCACGTTGGAGACCAAGGGCAAGGACACTCTCAATGGAGCGCTCAATGACTCCCATTGCCTGGCAGCGCACTTCCGCTATGATGCCGCCACTGACCGCCTCGTAAACTTCAGGTTTGTAGTCTTGCATCCTTGTGTCGTCTGTGTCGTGTGTGTGTTCAACTTGCGCACGAGCAGTTTTCAGCTAGCGATGAGTGGTAAGTGCAAGCTGTTCATCTACGAGTTTGACAAGGATTGGAAGTTGCTGAGCAAGCAGATCCACTCCTTTGAGAGTTACTACTATTGTACCACCTACCTACCTACCTACCGGTCTCCTTTTCATCTTGGTTCTTGTTTTTATTGTTTTTTTTTATTACAATTTAATCCCTTGTGGGTGTTGTGATTGATTTTGTCGAGTCACGCAGGCCATGACTTTCTCTTGACGGAGAATTACTACATCTTCCACCAAACGCCCTTCTACAAGCTCTCGCGGACCAACGTCGCTAAGATCATTTCCGGCGCCTACGCCCCAGGCCAGCTCATGCGCTACTACCCCGGTACGCCCTTCACTCTCTGTTCCGTCCCTCAAGGTGAATCAAACGCCTGGCGTTTTCCTTGCAATCCGAATTGAGCCTCATTGCATGTCATTCATTAGAAGTGCCCTCTCGCATGATCATCATCCCCAGAGATGGCAAGAGCCAGCCTCGCTTCTTTGAGACCGAGCCATGCATGATCTACCACCACTGTACGCCGCACCTCTTCATTCTTCATTCGTCATCCCTTCTCCTCCATATGGATCCATTATCAACCGACCACAAACAGGCAACGCATGGGAGGAAGGTACCCAAGTGCATTTCTCTAGTGTGTGTATTGGCGAAAAGTTCAATATGGACTTTGAGCAGGTAATCAGCATCCGCACAGATCACGACACACAACACGACACGACACGACCCACACGACACGACACACACACGACACACACACGACACCTTGCATCGGGCACACATGCCACACAACTCATCTCTCTCTCTCTCTCTCTCTCTCGTGACGACCAGGGCATGTGGTTGGCGAATGCGAGGGCTGCCCCCGGTGTTGTGCACAACTACACCGCCGACCTCAAGCGGGGCACCCTCGTCCGCACCAAGGCCGATTTTTGCAGCTGCGAATTCCCTAGCGTACGCGTGCAACCCCTCCGCTCGTTTAACAGCTCCTCGCGGCCTCTTTCACGCATCGCTGACGGCCCATCGATCACATGTGTTCAATTGCAGGTGCACCCGGAGATTGCGGGGAAGAGGTGGCGGTACGCGTACCTGATGGCGTCGGATTCGCCGCAGAAACCCATCCCCTTCCAGGAGATCGTCAAGTTCGACCGCGAAGGTATTCTTTCGATGCACCTGGTCCACCGCACGCACGCACGCACCACGCACGCACGCACGCACGCACTGAGCTATTTGCCATTCGTTAGGACTCCGCCGCCAGGTGTGGAGTGCCCGGGCTGAGTTCTCAATCCTGGGTGAGCCCGTGTTCGTGCCTCGTCCGGGGCTCAACAGGGAGGAAGACGACGGGTGGGTGATCACGCAACTGTACGACTGCAAGAGGCACGAAACGCAATTCGTGGTGCTCGACGCCCGCAATCTTGGCCACGGACCAGTCGCTAGGGCAAAGCTGGCGCACCACACCCCCTACGGGTTCCACGGCACCTTCACTCCTGAGGTGCGCTTCCAAGCACGCCACAATGTGTCACCGCCTGATCTCACTCCCCCCACGCTGCTCCATGGGGGGGTACGTTATTTGTGCAGGTCTTCTACTAATTACTGCTGGCCGCGGAATCACTTGGGGCGCACTCAAACCCAATCAGAAATCACACATTGCCTGCTTGAATCCTCAGTGCCCGGACGCAGAAGGTGTGTGGTGGGTGGGCACTCCACTATCCTCGTGGTAGTACAGGCACTCCCCCAAGTGGGGAAGAGGTGTAGCTGCGATGTCGATTGAAGAAACTAACGATGCGTACGTGGAAGGAGGAAAAAAATGGCGCGGATGATGTTGTGGTTGTAGGTGTGATGGCACGCACAATGGCGGCTCTACCGTGAAGTGAGATCTCACTTGTGAGATTCGTTGTACAACATATGAGAATGCGACACCAATGCTGTCACATTGCTGATTACTCGCACCTCGAATAAAAGAACGATTGGGGGTACCTGAGACCGCTGCAGCTGGACCGTCGCGCAGGAGGTGGGCAACTGCGACTGTGCATGAGAAATCTAACATGCGATGCGCACCAGCGTACTGCCGGAGGCGGAGTTTAGACTTTCTCGGCAGCACACTAGGAATTTTGCGGCAACCATTACAGGCAAGATGACCCGGTTGCGCGCTTGCTCTGTAAGCTCCTGACCTGCCGTTTTGTTCAAAATGCGCCGCAGCGCATGAGCTTTAAGATGTGATAGGATTCAGCCCTCTAGGATGCCTCATTGGGCCGCCAGGACCTCCCTGTTTATGAGTAATTTTGCAATTTTTCTAAGCCACTCGACCAAGAGCACTGTTTTTCTCGCTTGCCTTGACAGCTGGTAGCCCTCAAATTTGTTTCCAGACCAATTAGACCATGGGCTACAAGATGTCGAGCGATTCAGGCCGCTTCAGTTACGCTGTTCGGCTAACAACTTGTACCTCTAAAATCGCACTCTCAATCAAAGCGCATCAGTTTTCTCGCTTGCCTTTATAGTTAGCGGCCTGCCAACCATTGTCAAGACCAATTAGACCATGGGCTACAAGATGGCGCCTGATTCTGGGCGCTGCCGTGCGCTGTTTGCAACTTGTAATCGAAAATCACGATACTAAAACAAAGCGCTCCAGTTTTCTCGCTTGCCTTGATAGCTAGCCGGCTGCCAATCATTATCCAGACCAATTAGACTATGGGCTACAAGATGGAGCTCCGCGGAGGTCGTGACTACCCGCGATCATCGCGGCGGGGAGTCAGCTCCAATGATAGATTCAGGGATGCAACAATAACGCGTAACACTCGAGAAACGCGTTTAAATCGTTTAACTAGTAAAACACTGATTAAACTCGTTTAACGACCTGCCCACTCGTTGCACGTGTGGGCCACTCGAGGGACATGGTAATTATCCCCAAGGCCTTCCCGCCCTTACCGTTGGGTGGGGCTTCGGAATCCTCCTTCGCTGACTCCTTTCCTTCCTTCTTCGTCTCAGGAGCTGGCTCGTTTGACGAGGAGGTGGTCGAGTTGAGCGTGCCGGGGTCACAAAGTGACCATAGCTCCTTCGCGCGAAGGTACGCTCGAATCTGAGTAAACCAGAGAGCGTAGCCCTCTGAAGATTTGAGAATCGGAAGTGAGGTGCTCATAGGGGATGAGTCGCCGGCCGCGATGTCCGCGTGTGAAACAGGGAGGAGTAGTTGTGTATTGATGAAAGATTAAAAGGAAAAATAAAGGAGCGCCGGTCCCTTAGGGGATGCAACGAAAACGAGTAACACTCGTTAAACGCGTTTAACTAGTTTAAAGCGTTTAATCAGTGTTGCCACAGGTGGTTTGTGGTCATTTTACTCGTTTTTTAGGCGTTTTTTACTCCTTTAACTCATTATTTACTCGTTTTACTCGTTATTTACGCATTTTTTACTCGTTCGATTCGACGCGGGTTTTACTCGTTCCACGCGGTTTTTACTCGTTTCACACGTTCTCTACTGGTTTCACGCGTTTGCTACTCGTTTCACGCGTTCTCTACTCGTTTCACACATTCTCCACTCGTTTCACAAGTGGCCCACACGTTCGACGAGTGGGCAGGTCGTTAAACGAGTTTAATCAGTGTTTTACTAGTTAAACTAGTTAAACGCGTTTAACGAGTGTTACGCGTTTTCGTTGCATCCCCTTACAGGTATTCCACCGATGATTGAATACTAAGGAAATAGAAAAGCTTAATTCCGACACCGCGGACATTGCGACTTCCGGATAATCGCGATCTCCCGCGGACCGCCTACTCTTCACCGCGAGGCCACGCGCATCGTTCCTCACACCTGCAACACGCGGATAATCGCGATGTCCGCGGGAGGTCGCGATGTCCGCGAAAACAAGCCATCCCCAGGCACTGGGCCTTCATGGGTGAGCAGAGTGAGGGCTGTATGCAAGCTGTTGCTGTTTACACGATGGCCACGAGTAGAAAACTAGTTCCACGAAGTAAACTAGTGCTCCGAAAAACGAGTACAAACGAGTACAACTGGTTTAACTCGAAGCACTAGATTTCCACGGCCCACACGTTCAACGAGTGGGCAGGTCGTTAAACGAGTTTAATCAGTGTTTTACAAGTTAAACTAGCTAAACGCGTTTAACGAGTGTTGGGGGATGCAACGACAACGCGTAGAACTAGTTTAACTCGTAAAACTAGTGGAACTCGTGGAACTAGTTTTCTACTCGTGGCTACTCGTGAACACAGCAATGGCTTGTCGTACAGTCCTCATTCTGCTCATTCACGAAGGCCCGTTGCCTGGCAGAGCAACAGGCACCTTTGGCAGCCGTGGAGCTTTCAAGGCAAGTGAGTTTTCCTGAATACGTCATCGGCTTCCACGTGGGCTAGTGAGCTATTCGTGTTTCGAGTTTTAGGAGTGTTACGAGTTAAACTAGTTCTACGCGTTGTCGTTGCATCCCCTTACGCGTTTTCGTTGCATCCCCTGTCAGGTCAGAACAAGATCTTAGATTAGATTACGATTAAGATTAAGATTCGAATTAGATTGTTCAGTTAGATTCCTTCGTTTGTGGGGGCGTACCTCTACAAGCGCAGCCATCCTAGAGGGCTGAGTCCTATCACATTTCGAAGCCCGTGCTCCTTGGCTCATTTTGAATCAAACGCGAGGTCACGAGCTTGCAAGGCAAGTGAAAAAAAGAGTCAGTGATCTCTGCTGCGCGTTAATAAGTCCCAGCGCCCCAATGAGCCATCCTAGAGGGCTGAGTCCCATCACATCTGGAAGCCCGTGCTCTGTGGCTCATTTTGAACCATACGGCAGGTCAAGAGCTTACAGAGCAAGCGAGAAAACCGGGTCATCTAGCTTGTGTGGTGATGGCCCCACAAATTCAAAGTCCCAACTCCGCCTTTGGGCGTGAACTTAAGTCTAAACTCCGCCTCCGTTGGCGAGTACGCCAGTCGAACTGCCAAAATCCGGGGACGAAGAAGAAAACTACCCCATTTATTGGCTGTACTACTGCTCAGGGCTGGTTTCTACATAGTTCTTGTAGGAGGAGAGGTGTGCGTACTCCTTGAGCCCATAGGTAGCGGAAGCCACTCGTATGAAAGGGCTGTTAGGGTCTTGCCTTATCGATGTGCTGAAACGTCCCACCAGCGAATTGGCCGCCCCTTTCGAATCTGTTTCAATGTAGGCTGTGGTTGCGTGTCGTGTGTCATTATCGATTGGAAAGAGGAGCGCTGATGGAGGGTATGGGTACCTTTCTCGCGGCCCTTGGAGATGATTTCGCTAGCCTTCATGGGCTTTTTCTCCTCACGGAGCACTTTTTCAGCACTCCAGAGAAGTGTTCCCTTGGCGCTGATGTGTTGCTTCTTGCCGCCACTCTTTTTGGGCTTGAGCTTGATGTTGTTGTTGTGCTTCTTCTTCTTCGACCCGACGTTGCCCTCGTCCTCGTAGTTGTCATCTTCCTCCTGGTCGGCCTCGCTGATGGCCGCCTCCTCGGCTCTGTGTGCGTTGAGAGCTGCCGCTGCTGCCTTTTTCTTCCCCACAATGACCCGCTGGCGTGCATTGAGTGCTGCTGCCGCAGAGTTGGCGGTCGTCCTGGATCACACACACACACACACCGCGCGCGCGCGTACACACACGACACACCGCCGGTGTCAGCATGCGCTGCCTGGAAATGCAGCTGGCATTTCTCGAGAGGTTCTCCCACCACACACGACACGACACACACGACACACACTGGGGGGAGGAGGAGTTATGGGGTAGGGTGGCGTACCTGCCGGTCGTGGTGGCTTGGCTGCTCTTGCTGGTGCTGCCGGCGGCGGTGAGGCGTTTGTTCGGAGGGAGGACGCGCGACGCACCTGCCACGTAACAACAGCACGTCAGCAACAGTCTCGCGCGCGCGCGCAACACTGCACTGCGGACGGCCGATGAGATAGGACGCACCGGCGGTGATGGTGCGGGTGCCCGCGGTGGGTCGAGTGGCGGTGCTGATTCGAGAGGCACCCGGTCGCATGGCCGTTCCGCCCACACGCGCAGGCTCCTGCTTCAGCCGCTTCGCGTGTGGCAGAGCCGCCTGCGAGCGGGAGGAGTTTGGTCAGCAGGCGTGTGTGTGTGCGTGCGTGCGTGTTGGGGGGGGGTCGTTAAAACAGCTCGCCGCGCTCACTGTACGCCACGGTCGGCGCGACGAGGCGGGCCTTAGTGATGGGGGGGGATGGGGTACTCGCTGGCGAGCGGCATTCCGGGCCTCCTCGAGGTCGCCCGAGAGATCGGGAAGGCCAACGGCGAGCTGCCTGCCCCTCTCGCTCCGCAAGGCATTCGGGAAGCGCATCAGGAGGCACAGCGCATTGGTCGAATCCTTGACTATCTCCACCTGTGCACCGACGCCGGGGGAGCCACACCACCACACGTGGTTGTGGTCAGACAGTTGTGTGCAGACAGACGCACACGACGCACGCACACACGACGCACACGCACACACGCACACACGACAAACACGACACACACTAAAACGACATGTGTGGGAGGACGTACATGGCCCACACTGCCCTCGCCCACGAGGCCTTCGCTCAGGATGCGGTCCAGCGTGAGGTGCCTGAACCGGCTGTTGTCCTCTGCCACGCTCGCCCCCTCCTGTTGTCGTTGGGGTGCAACACCAGCCACCACCACCAGCCACCACCACCAGCCACCACCAGCCACCACCGCCAAGAGGAGTGGGGCCACATGTTAGCGTGCGCACGAGAGGCATTGATTGGATGGATATGGGGGGGAGCTTTGTTGAAGTTGCGGCTGGCGGCGGCGGCGGCAGATTTGGGCGGGGCGGGGGGTTACCTCGGGCTGGGTGGCATCTTCGGTGGTGGAGGTCGTGGTGGTGGTGGGGGGCAGCTTGAGGGCGACGCTCAGTCCATCGGGACCGGTGTGGGGCTGGCCGTTCAGGTTGTTGGCGGCGGTGGCGGTGTTGTCGCCGCTGCCGCCGTCGGCATCGGGCTCGGCCTCGGGATCGATGTCGCCGCTCTGGAGGTAGTCGCTCTTCCGCTTACGGCTCAGCTGTGCCGCTGCCGCTGCTTCTTCGGCGGCGGCGGTGATGCCCTCCATGCCGCCGCTGTCGTGTTTGCCGCCCTCCACGTCTTCCATGCTCTCCTCTTCGCCCTCCTCGTCCTCCTCGTCGTCCTCCTCCTCCTCCCGGCCCTCGGCGTCCTCCTCTTCGCCCTCCTCGCTCTCGCCCTCCTCTTCCCCGAGACCCTCCTCCGCTCCCTCATCGTCCTCTTCCTCGCCAGCCCCGACCTCACTGCCAGTGAGCGAGTCTGCACACGACGCCCACCACCCACCACGTACCACCCACCTCCATTGCGATGAGCAGCACGACACACGACACACACGACACACACACGACACACACACACGACACGTGCATCCCACATTTCCCGCCACGAGCCACAGAAGGAGAGGGGAGTACCCTCCAACGGTTCCGTACCGCCGTGCCCGTTATTCGGCGATCCGTCATCCTACAGCCGCCACGAGTTGGCCCAGGTGGCGAGGAGATGGCGCGTGTCGGTGTGCGTGTCGGTGTCGGTAGATGGCGCCGTTGGTGGTGAGCGCTATGTCGAGAGAAAGGGGAGCGCGCGCGGGTGTCGTTCATTGTATGTGTGTGTGCGTGTGTGCGTGTGTGCGTGTGTGCGTGTGCGTGTGCGTGTGCGTGTAGGTGATGTGTGAAGCATCCGTACGGGTTGGGTGGCGTTGGGGTCGGTTTCGTAGACGAGCACGACGCAGTTCTCAAAGTTGATCTTGTCTCCGTGCGTGATCTCCATAGGGTCACCCGAGAGGGGCTTATCGTTCACGAGCACCATGCGCCCCTCCTCGTCCAAGTTCTGAAGGTATATCTGTTTCCGCAACACATACATTACAATTACATTACATTACATAAAAAATAAAAGCACCACAGAAGCATCACCACCATTCCCCATCCCGCGTGTCAGCGCCGCAGGCTGGCCCGGCGGCGGTTCGCGCGCGAAGGGAGGGAGAGAGGGGGAGAGGGAGAGGCCACGACCGACGCCCCAAAGGCTCTTCAACAAAACGCAAACACAAACGCAAACAATAACAACAACGAGAGACCCTCAAGCAATAATAATAGTAGCAAGGGGGGAATGCAGCCAACGATGAAAATTTGGATTGTATGGATTGGATATCATCGCAACTGCATGGTCAGGGGTGCGATCCAGAGCGGTAATTCTCGACACCTCGCTCCCGCTTCAACTTCCATATATGAGGACCTGTCGGTGAATGGGTACCTTGTGGCCATGTTGAACGTTCATGACGGCATGCTTGGGCTTGAAGCCTTGCGTTCGCAGCACCACGGTACATTGGGAATCGCTGGCGATTGAGAGTTATATATGAGCTTTCCAGAGGGAGCAACAAAAGCTCGATCGTGGCCAGATGGCTGAGAAAATTTGCGAGCTGCAAAGCGCATCGCCGGTAGAACGAAAGAATTACCTGCCAAAGGAGACCAATTTCCTTCCTTTCAAGTGTAGCTTCCTTCCCGTAGAGCCAGACGCATCGTAGTGGACGAGAAATCCGTTCATGATGAGGAGGGGCTGTGGGTGCAGCCTGAAAACAGCGCGCTTGCTCAAGAATCGGGGCCGCGAGATCCTACTGATTCGCGAAGGATTGAACCGGATGAATAAAATCCAACCGTTTCCGCCCACCTTAAGGTGACGGTGACGCAGACAGACTGTCGACACACAAACGGCGCGCCAAAATAAATAAGTAAATAAATAGTTTTTTGCCTCACAAAATTGAACCGCGGTTACCGCCACGACGGGGGGGGGCAGTGGGCGGTGGGCGAGCATGCGTCACCAATGATCAGGAGCGGTCGTCGTCCCACCCGTTGGGGATGAGGTAGTCGGCCTTGAGTCGCTGCGACGGCACGCCACTACTGCTGCCCACCTCCACATCGAGCGCGAGCAGCTTCTTGTAGCGCGACGAGGAGAACGGGTGCTGGAACGAGGCCCTCTCCGCTCGCAACCTGGCCACCAGCCACCCCAGCCACCCCACCCATCACGCCACCACACGTACATGTGCGCCACACGCACCGAGCCAAGTAAGTCTCATGAGAAAGCGGCCTCATACCCCCCCCCACCCCAACCCCCCACGAGGCCAGGCGCGGGGTGTGGGCGTACAGGTCGTTCAGACTTCGATGCGGGCAGCTGTTGTACAGATAAACGGGACCTGCAGAGACGGACACACGGCGCGCACACACGGCGCACACACGACGGCATGAGGTGTGTGTTGGTGACCAACAAGAAAGAGAGTGTGTCGAGTGTGTGTGTGTGTGTGTGTGTTGTGTGTCGTGCGTGTGTGTCGTACCAAAGTCACTGGTGGCTTTGTAGAGAATGCGCTTGTGCTCCACCCCCTTTCGGGTCACTACGGACACGGTAAAGATGCCCGCGTGCGAGCTCAGCCGGAGGAGAAAGGTGCCCGGCTGCTGGTCTGCGGTGTGTGGGTCGTCGTCGTCGTCGTCGGCCGGTTAGTAAGCCCCCCCCCTCAGCAAACTTCCACAAAGAGAAAGGTATGTGCTACCAACTCCCCGCCGCCGCCACGTGAGGGGGGGGGTGCATTGCGAGGGGCGCAGGTACCGGCAAGCCGCTCCTCGGCCATCTCCGGGGTGATGTAGCCGTGAAAGCACTCGAGCTCCACCACGCTCCGGATCTGATGTTTTGGGGGGTTTTTGTTGTGCCGAACCAGCGTTGTGTTGTGTGTGTCGTGTGTGTCGTACTCGTGTGAGGAAGGCGACGCCCATGAGGTTCATGAGGGGTCCGAAGCACGCCAGGTTGCCGCCGAAGCTCTCCAGCGTTACCATCCCGCTGCCCTGCATCAGACGGCCATCTGCGCGCGAGCCACCCCACCAGCCACGCACCGGTTCCGAGAGAGAGAGAGAGAGAGAGATGCGAGTGTTTGCGTGTGCGTGTGCGTGTGCGTCGTGTGAAGTGAGAGTGAGCTCAGGAGCACCGCGGCAAGAGAGAGAGAGAGAGATAGAAATTAGCTGGAAATAGGATAGCATATCGATACCGGGGTCGTCGATGCCGCCCTTGACGAGGAGGGCCTTGAGGCAGCGCCAGTGTACGTCGAGCTTCTTGTCATCGTTGAGGACGGGCAGGGGGATCATGAACATGCCGCACAGGGCGGCCACGAAATCCTCCCACGTCACTCTCGTGCGGCCCGTGAAATTGTCCCGCCACAGCGCGCGACCTGGTTGGGTGTTACAGAAATATATGGGTTATATATCCTTTACAAAAAAATATGGCTCATAACGGTTGGGGGGGGAAGGGTGCGGACAATGAGAGAGAGAGAGATGGCGGGGGCGTGCTCACCAGCGTTGTCGTTGATGACGGCATCGATGATGGCGGTGTCGAGGACGTTGATGATCTCATCAAAATTGGGCCTTTCCTCGGGCTTGGGCGACCAGCTTCGGCGAATGAGCGCCGCCAGCGGTGGCGGGACTGGCGGCGGCGGCGGCACAAGATATGGGATTAGCGGAGGAGGGATGGAGGGGCCGGGAGGGAGGGGAAGTGGCAGTCACGCCTCCTCTCTCTCTCTCTCTCTTTCGATGATGATGATGGTGATGATGTGGATTTGGGAGGGGGGGGGTAGGCACCGTGGTCGGCCGACAATTTGGGTCGTGTTCCTCTGATCACGATTTTGTCGTACAGTACGACCTCCGGTTGGTTGGACAACAGGATCTCGCGCTTGAGCGACTTGAACACCTCCTCCCCTATTTACATATATAAAACACACCACACACACACACACACATGACGCACGCACGCACGCACACGACACACATATACAGATATAGAGGGATGTTCGCATATTTCGCGCGGGCGCACACACAACACATGAGCTATCAGTACAACTGTCACATCATTCTCTGGACTGCATGCCTTCTTAACACACCAACCTCCCGCCCGCATAGCCGCGCGCAAGACACACACACACACACACACACACACACGACATACAACGTCACGCACGACGCGGGGAGCACGCTCGCGGAGAAGGCCGAAGATTGCGCGCGCGGTAGTGGTGGTGTCGAACGCACCGGTGAGGATCTCCGCAAGGCAGCAGGCGAACGAATAGACGTCGCACTTCTCGCTCTTGGTCCCGTCGCGCAGAAACTCCGGAGCCATGTACACAAAACTGAAGCCGCACCGCCGCCGCCGCCGCCACCACATGCGTTATTGTCAGCATCACTAGCATCGTCGCCATCGCTATGGGCATCATCAGCATCCCCGCGTGCCAAAGGCGCGTTCGTCAGTTCAACCAGCGAGCCGCCGCCGCCGCCGCCGCCTGGCTGTGGTGATCGTGGTGGGGGGGGGTGGCGTTGAATGCGAGTCTCACCTGGCCAGGTCCCGTCGCCCGGCACACTTGCGGCGCATGTTGAGGAACCCGAAATCGGCGATCTTGACCATCCCGTCGTTGCCCACCTGCACCCCCCC